ATCAAAGAGATGAAGAACAGAGGAACCAAGAGCTGATGCCCGCTGCTGAGCTGGAAACCCGTGATCTTTTGCCTGGCTTCCGGATCCACTTGGGTTCCCAGAAGAGCCACTGCTCAGGGAAAAGAGCCCCACTCAGAGTTCACAAGGGCCTGAGCCAACACTCACCCCCAAAGAACCAGAAGACCATGGTGTCTCCATTCATGTTAGAGAAGACACAGAGAAGCCAGCAGAGCCCCACACGAGTGTCTCACCACAGGTGCAGTAAGTTCTTAGACATGCCTTGTCATTTCTTGGTATAGCAATGTGTGATTTGGACAGATAAACATGACAGCTGGCAGAAGAACATCATAATTACCCTGCGGTGTGGAATAAGAATCATCACGGTGGGAAAACAAGCACCAGCCCCTGAAGCTGCCCTATTGCTCACACGACCGCAGGCCAGGAGAAACAACAGGTTCACCTTTAAAAGACTTAAGGGAGACGGGTGTGATGTGGCCTGGGTCCTGGAGAGACAGGTCGGACAGCTGCCATGCTGGGAACGGCTGCAAACACCAGCAACAACAGTCATGAATACAGACAGATCCGCTGGCCTCACTGGAACGAATGAGCACAACCTCTGATACATGCTGACCTGATGAGAGTGCAGTTTCCATTCCGTCAGGAAGGAGGGGCGGAAAGAGGGCTCATCCAGCCAGAATGGACCGCAGCACACGTTCAAACAAGACATGTTTGGAATCAGTGTCCAACTACCTGTGGTAGACAGGCATGTCAGTCTGTCTGCACAGTTCCAAGAGAAGAAGTACAGGGCAGACCTGGAGGGCTGGCAAGCTCTTTATTATAGGGCCAGACAGAGAGAAAATAGATTAGGCTTAGCAAGTCAAGAAGCTAAGTCAAGAAAGGTAGGTAGATTCTCAGGGAAGAATTTGTTTGTTTGTTTGTTTGTTTGTTTGTTTGTTTGTTTGCTTTTTGAGACAGAGTTTCTCTGTAGCTTTGGAGCCCGTCCTGGAACTTGCTCTTGTAAACCAGGCTGGTCTCGAACTCACAGAGATCCACCTGCCTCTGCCTCCCAAGTGCTGGGATTAAAGGTGTGCACCACCACCGCCCAGCTTCAGGGAAGGATTTTACAGTTGCTGTCGGCACACATCTGTAATGACAGCACTTGGGAGATTGAGAGGGTTGGAAGTTTGAGGTCAGTCTGGGCTCCGTAGTTAACACTCTCAAAAAAAAAAATACAATTTTATGTAATAAGATTTTTCTTTGCACCACCAGCTCACAAATAACAACATTGAGATTTATTATTGATTATGAAAGCTTGGCCTTTAGCTTAGGCTTATTTTCAACTAGCTCTTACAACTTAAGTTAACCCAAAATTATATTAACCTACGTTGACCACATGGCTTTTACCTCTACCCCATTCTGTGTGTCCAACTCGTTCTGTGTCTGGCTGGCATCGCTCACACGCCTGTTCTCTCCTATTTCTTCTCTTTCTGCCTGGAAGTCCCACCTACACCTCCTGCCTAGCTATTGGCCACTCAGCTCTTTATTAAACCAACCACAGCAATATATATTCACACTGCATACAAATATGCCACAACAATTTTCAAAGACAAAAACTATTCTTTTTGTTTGCTTTGTTTGGAATGGGGTCTTATACAACCCAAACTGACTTCAAACCATACAGGTGCTTTATGGTGCTGGAGATGGAGTCCAGGGCTTCCAAGCACTCTGCCACCTGAACTACTGAGGTCATAGTGACCTATTGTATTTCCTCAGATTTCCTCCATCCTGGAGAGAAAAACCAAGAAGACAGACAGAAAGAAGGAAGGAAGGAAGGAAGGAAGGAAGGAAGGAAGGAAGGAAGGAAGGAAGGAAGGACTCAGGAAGTAAATAACTGAGAAGGCTCAGGAAGTTCCTGAAACTAAACAAACACATAAGGTTCCTCCCTCCTGAGGTTATATAACCAGTAAGAAGCTCTAAGGTGAATCAGTCCAACTAAGGCTGGAAAAGGTTGACCTACTGAACTGCCTGGAAGACAGCTCTGACCTGTGGAGCTGCCTCCAAGTTGTTCACTGAATTTCAAGGTTCTCATGAGTGACTGTCCTTGGGTGGGTTTTAGGTGATGCAGCTGCCCTTGAGTCATGCATGTTCCTATAAGTAACCCCTCACCTCTACTCCTCTAAGTAACTCTGATAAACTCAAGGGGTCACCAAATTCAATTTCAGCAGTATTGCCACTTTGTTCCTTGTCTGGAATGAACAGACGTTTGTGTCTCATCCCCTTAGGAAAAGTTAGCTGGAGCAAGGCAATGTAGTTCAGCTGGTGGAGTGTTTATCTAACACACACATATCCCTGGCCTCAGTCCCCACCACCCTATAAAATGGGCAGAGTGATATACACATATAATCCCAGCACTGGGGAGACAGGCAGGAGGGTCAGAAGCTGAAGGTCATTCTTGACTACATGTAGAGTTTGAGTGTACAAGAGACTCAGTCTAAAAAAAAAGTTTCAAATAAATATAAAATTATAGCTCCATGGCAGAGCACTTCCTAAGCACTTCCTGGGCCCAGGCTCCAGCACACAAAATATAAAGTTACAGCTCTTTCTTGGCCATGTTTGGGTCTTCTTATCTGCAGGCCAAAGAATGGAGTAAATGACCATCAGAAGTTATGGTCTCTGCTTTCCATGAGGGAAAACCTCATGTCAGGGACAAGCAGGACCATGTCTGGGATTCAGGGACCTGTGAGGAGTGGGGACTCTTGCTACTTCTAGTCTCATAACCATAAATAGGAAATTCAAGCAAACTGACAAAGGCAGCAAGACCAAGGTTCACATCACTCAGAAGTGCAGAACTAGGTCAGGTCACCAGGAAGATAAGGTGGACCAGCCAAAGGGTTCCCGGGGAGGAGAATGCAGAGTAATAGAGGAGGGACAGGACAGCTACTACTTAGGGTTCATTAGAGTGATGACCACAGTTTATTCCATTCTATACCACTTATCTTCTGGTTGTCTTTTTTGTTTGTTTGTTTTGAGATAAGGTCTCACCATACACCTCTGGCTGGCCTACAACTTGCTATGTACAACAGGCTGACCTCCACCTCACAGAGATCCACCTGTCTCTGCCTCTCAAGTGGCGGGATTAAAGGCCTGTGCCACCATACATTTATTTATGTATGTATATATATTTATATATATGTGTGTGTGTGTGTGTGTGTATGCAGGTGTATGCACCTGTACATATGCTCAGAGGCCAGAGGAGGATGTTGGGTGTCCTTATGTCTGCTTTAAGCCTATGAGGCAGGGCTTCTCAAGAAACCTTTAACTAGGCTGGTAGCAGAAAAGCCCCAGTGAGCTCCACTCTCCATGGTGCTGGGAACTCAGGTCCTCAGGCTTGCAAACATAACAAGCACTCTTACTTACTGAGCCATCTCTCGAGATAAAGTCATATTATGAGAGCCCAGGTTGGTTTTGAACTCCCGATTCACCTGTTTCTGCCTCCGAGGGCTGAAATATAGCTGGAAACCACTGTCCCTGAGACTTCTCTTTAAGATACTCAGCTAGTATCTTTTTCTTTTTCTTCTTTTTTTTTTGTATGTATGTATGTATAGTGTTCTGCCTGCATATATGCTTGCAGGCCAGAAGAGGGCACCAGATCTCATTACAGATGGTTGTGAGCCACCATGTGGTTGCTGGGAATTGAACTCAGGACCTTTGGAAGAGCAGTCAGTGCTCTCTTACTCTGAGCCATCTCTCCAGCCCCAGGTCACTTGGAATTTTGTTTTGTTTATTGAGACAGGGTTTCTCTGTATAGCCCTGGCTGTCCTGGTACTAGTTCTGTAGTCCAGGCTGGCCTCAAACTCAAGAGATCTGCCTGCCTCTGCTTCCTGAGTGCTGGGATTTAAGGTATGTTTCATCATGCGTGGCATTAACTTGGACTTTTGAGTACCGTCAACTGTTAAAGACTGTGGTATTATGGGCTGGAGAGATGGCTCAGCGGTTAAGAGCACTGACTGCTCTTCCAGAGGTCCAGAGTTCAATTCCCAGCAACCACATGGTGGCACAAAACCCTTTTTTTTTTTTTTTTTTTTTTTTTGGTTTTTCGAGACAGGGTTTCTTTGTGGCTTTGGAGCCTGTCCTGGAACTAGCTCTGTAGACCAGGCTGGTCTTGAACTCACAGAGATCCGCCTGCCTCTGCCTCCCGAGTGCTGGGATTAAAGGCGTGCGCCACCACTGCCCGGCCTCAAAACCTCTTATGAGAACTGGTACCCTCATCTGGCCTACAGGCAGGATACTGTATAAATAAATAAATACATCTTTTAAAAAAACGATTGTGGTATTCTTAGAGACAGACTGAACATATCAATTAACTGATACGAGTCTTTTTGAAATCGTGAGTGGATTATTATTGTTTGGATATAAAGAATTGTCCCCAAAAGGCTCCCAAGTTGAGAGTTTAATCCTTAGCTGGTAGACCATGATTCTCCTTGTCTCAAACGTCTCCAGATTTGCTTCCTGTTACTTCCCCTCTCCCTAAGACTATTTCCTGGGGTATTTCCAAGATGAGCTACAAATTCCTGTTCCAGGTTTAGGGGGGTTGACCTAAACTAGATGGCAACTCTCCTACTTTATTCCTTTAACTAAAGAACAGTGACAGAGACCTCAGGGCAGACAGGACCAGGAAAGGGGGCCTGGCCAGCTTCAAAGACCTAGGTTCAAGCTCAGCACTATAACCGGCTGTTAGACCCCTGGATCACTGAATCCATCTAGGCCTCAGTTTCGCCATCTGACAAATGCACATGACATCACCCGACACTACCCAGCAGTGTGTCATATGCACTTATACTTAATAAGAGTCCCCGGCGTGTCATTCAGTATCAATCCATCTTTCCTCCGTGGCTCTGCTTCCCCAAAAGTGCACACGCATGTACATTTGGCGTGCCCACGCACACACACCATGATTCCCAAGAAACACAACTGAGACAGGTCAGGCTGCTCACAAGTTCTTTATTTCCACGCGGGCACAAACATCGATACAAAGGCTGACAAGCTACAAGACTATGGAGCACTGCAGGAGCAGGGCAGGCACCGAGGCCGCAGCTACGCATGAGCAAAGATGTCGGGAAGGGCAGAACTCTAGAGGGAAACTCACAGGCCACAGGAGATCGAGACGTCACAGGGAGGAGGGCCCCCTCCGCCACCCCCACTCAGATACACTTCACATTACACACGGCAATAGAAACAGAGGAAGAACGAAGGATAGCAAAAAAGAATCAGGTTCCAAAAAGCCAACCAGAACTGAGGAGGTCCCTTTATGTGAGCGGTTCAAGGGATAGAGAGGGTCCTCCCAGTAACTGCCTACCCTAGGGACCTGGGTCCCCACCCTGACCGTCTCAGAGCTGGGTCTGGTAGCCAGACAGTCTCCCCGCAGGCTGCTTCCACCCCAGGGGCCCCAGTAGCCACAACTTTGGCACCAGTTTCAGAATGAGGAACTAGGGTTCTTTCAGCCGGCCTTAGAAGAGAGCAGAAGCTTGGGCCAGGACAGAGAAAGGCCTGCCTACAGACATGAGGTCGTTTCCAAGGAAGGGAAGGAAGGGAGGGACTTAGCCAGGCAGCAGAAGAAGGGTCTCAAGCGGTCTGTGGGGCCTCTGCAGGCTGCTGGGAAACAGCAGAGCCTGGAAGAGAAGCGGGTGGACGTGAACCAGGAGCCTGACCCACCTCAGACACGGTCGGCCGTGTCAGGAGACACCACTGACGGTTATTCGGGTTTCCCATTGTCAGTCACAGAAGCGCTGACCCTATTACAACTGGCACACTCTTACTGTGCTTCTTCCAGTGATGTTTCACCCACTGATTCCCCCCTCCCCCCAAAAATCAAGAGTGACAGCGAGCCGGCATTAAAGGGTGCTGCCTACAAGTTACAGACTTCAGGTGTTGTGCAGAAAGAGCCAGCGTAGCAGTGAGACCAGACCAGGGCTTCACTACCCATAGGCAGACACAGGCTCAGGTCTGCGCCTAGCTGTGTGGCCTTGGACAAGTCAGCTCAGCTCTCTCAACTTCAGGGTCCTCTTCTAAGAAATGGCGCAGGATCGAATCTACCGACCCACGGGTATGTGTGTGTGTGTTTGTGTGTGCGCGCATGAGGACAAAAAGAGCCTTCAGGGAAAAACACCCAGTGCCAAATCACCTGAACTCACTGACAGCTCCTCATAGGCCGGGCCTAAAAAGCCTGCCCTCAGAGCATGTAACTCCCAAAATCCAGGGTTTCTCCTCCTCTCTGGCACTGGGAGAGTTAGTGATGCTGTCCTCCAGCGTCCTGGGTCTGACCCTGGGCTGCTGCTCCAAGATCCCGCCCCTCCCCCACATGTTTGCTGCAGGGCCGGAGAGTCTTGGGGGGGGGTAGAGAAATTAGGGATGGGGATACGGGGAAGGGTGAGCAGAGATAGGAAGCTGAGGTACAAAGGGGGCACACAGTCCCAGTCCTAATCCTCAGTTCAGCGCCCCCAGGAAGAAGGTGGATGGACAGCTGGACTTGTAAGCAAATTCCACACAAGTGAGAACTAAGGCAACAATTCTACCAAGGGGACCTGGAGGTGCCTGTGTAAATAGTAGGCAAATCCATGCAAATCAGCACACTGAGCGGGACCAAACTGAGGTACAGTGAGCATTTGGGGGGCTCACCTACCTACCCTCACCTCTCACAAGGTTGATGACCGGAAGCTCGACCCACTGGCAGGAGGGTGTCCTCTGTGAGAGCACTCACCTTTTGGGACCACCTTCTGCTTCTGCTGCCGCTTGGAATGGGCATCCTGCCAGTTGGTCAGCTGCCGGAGGACGTACTTCATGTCCAGGCGGGAAGGGCCCAGGCCACTGGCCTGCAGGGCGGAGGCCACCACATTCATCCTTGTGGCCTCGTCCACCTCTGGTTCCACTTCCTCCCAGGCCTCGGTCTCCTCAGACACCCGGTCTGCCTCGTCCGCCAGCCCTTCCTCGGCCGTCCCCACCTCTTCTATGGCCCCCAGCCCTTCCTCAGGCACCAGCTCCTCTGGAGCCTCGAAATCTTCAGGTGGCTTGAGATCTTGCGGCGGTGGGGGTGGTGGCATCGCCCCCTGCTCCTGCTCTCGCTCCTCCTTGCAGCGGACGTCACATCTAGGCAGGGACACGCGAGGGTTTTCCCACACCTGTCAGCCATGCTGGTGTTCCTGGCCCTTACTCCTCTCCCTCCAACCAGGGGCTTCTGAGGAGGACATCGCAACCCGACCCCTACCCCTTAGCTCTCTGAGTTCTCTTGCCCTGCCCTAGTCTACAGACCCTCAAGGTCCTCCCCAGCTCTGTCCCCGCCAGGATTGAAGTGAAGGAGAATCATCCTCAATGTACCCAGTACCCAGCCCGTCCCACTTAGCAGGAAGAAGCAGGGTCAGCAATACCAAACAGGTTCCATCTCTTGTCCACTTCCCACCCTCCTGTCTAGAAAAGAGCAATGGGGATATTTCGACCCAGGGCCAGTTGTCATAGAAACGAATCCACATGAGTCAGGTGACTTGCCCAACCAAGGACACAAAGGAGCCTCAGGTGTTAAGGGCTGGGCCATTCATCTCTCAACCCGCGGTCAGGTGAAGGAAAGAAAAGCCTTGGTCTCTACGTAGAGTAGCCTAAATCAAAGTGGCCACCTAGGTGTCGTCTGAATGGAAAGGGTCAGCCTATTTCCAAAACAACTTTCAGATGAGTAGCCCCCACGACACGCCTTCCCAGAGTTTCCTGGTCACAGAACCAGCATCCTGCTGTCCTCTGGCTGCTGCTATGTGAAGACAGATGATGGCGAGCCCTTAGCCAGGTAACCCCAGGTTTTATGTCTTCCCCACAGCCACCCTGTAAGCCCTTAACAGAGAGCAGGGCCTTCAGTGGACTGAGGAAGCTCACGTTGCAAAGTTCCTGGGGCACAAACATATTAAAAGGTCACAGGAAGCCAGGCGTGGCGGGACATTAAATCTCAGTACTGGGAAGGCAGAGGCAGGCAGATCTCGAAGTTCAAGGCCAGCCTGGTCTACTGTGTGAGTTCCAGGACAGCCAGAGATACAAAGAGGAAACACAGTCTCAAAGGACAAAAGAAAGAAGTCTCCGATAGAAATGACACAGCGTCCAAAGAGGGAGGGGCTCGGCAGTGTGAGTGGAGCAGGATGGATACCCAAGAGAGGTCAAAACATGAGGGTCAACCATGCCCCACTCAGAGAAAGTAGTTGCCACTGGGTGACCCAAAGTGAGCAGAGCTGCAGCAAGCCTGAGGATCCCAATCACGCACCTCTCCATGAAATAGGCAGGGTCAGTGATGATCTTCCTTAGAGAAGTGCGGAGCTCCTCAGCCAGAGTCTCTGGGAAACTGGGAAGCGCGTCCTATAACAGAGAGGAGAGGAGCCGTTCCACCCCCACACTCACAGGGGGAAAATCTGAGGGTAGAAACCAAGCAGCAGCAGGTCTGGTTTGATCGCGAGATCAAAGGGACATCCTCACCAGAGGCACACTGTATCCATAGTGGGCGACAGAAGTCGTGGGCATCGAGGAGCGCTGGCGCTGGTTCTTCCCATCCTCCTGGCGATCGCGAAACCTGCTCCCATAATCCTGCACGTGAGAGCCCGCGCGAAAGCTCTGCGAGGATCCAGGGGTCCCCAGTCAGACAATCCGCCTGCTCTCGCCTTAGCACCCCCGCCCCCCACACTCTGAATCCAAACAGTGAGATTCAGGGTAACCCTGGACAAGACCCATTCGGGTCTCAAATGAGCTGCTACCCGCTGAGCCACAAGCCAGTCAGGGTGGGCGGCAGAAAGGCTGTCTTCTGTAGAGATTCAAGCAATCCCCAGGGGCCTGCACCCCAGATCTGGGCCAGGGACACATGGAACCTCACCTCTGGGTGGACTCCCTTCTCCGAAGCCAGCTGCTGCTGCAGTTTCTCTGTCTGGGCTCCATACTGGAAGGAACCAGGATGTATGAGACCCCACAAGACCTCCCACTCCAGGGCTCCCTGCCCAAACAGGCGTCCCACATCGGAGTCTTTGACAGTCCGTTTAGGAGGAGGTCACATGGGATGGGCGTCCTAAAGTGCAGGTCATTCAGCTTGGCACCGGGAAGAGTCGTGGGATCCAGTGGACTCGGCTAGGGACATGACTGGGCAGGATGAATGGCTCTCTAGTTAACCTCTGCTAACGCTGATGCCCACCCAGGTTAGACCTCTGGGCCTGGCAGAGCAGGGGGAAGAGGTTGGGGTCCCACGCAGCCTCGATAAGGGAGAAGGGCTCCCACAGTGCAGCTTACCGACTGACAACGCTGTTGCAGCTTGGTGATCTCAGCCTGCAGCTGGGTGATCTCCTTCTGCTGCCGCTCATAGCCCTCCAACCTCAGGACCAGCACCTCCGAGAGCTCTGCCATCTGCTGGCTGGCTTCAGCTATGGGACAAGCGCAGATCAGCCTCGGCTCTGGCCCGCCCCACGGGGGTCTCAGGGGGCTTTGACATTCTTTGTTCTGGTCTTCATGCCCAGGAACAGCTAGCTTATGAACACATAGATGCCAGCCCATACCAAGCTCCGGTACAGTGGAGACAGTCAACTGGGAAAAGGAACTCAGGATATCAGTACGGGCTATGATAGAGCCAATGTGTGTGTGGGGGGGGGGGGGGCAACGGTAGATAAAATGACGTCATAGGTGGAAGGACCGTCAACCTGTGCTGCAAAGCCTGGGAAGGGTTCTGGAAGGAGCCACCGGCTAAGTAAGCCCCACCATACAAAGAGGAAGCTGGAGAGTGTGGGCAGCAAGAGATGCTGGGGCAGTGAGCAGAGGACCTTATCACACAGGTTGGGGGAGGGGCCGAGATTATCCTTTGACCAATGGGAAGACAGAACCTGATTCGGTTTCAGAAAACTCATCCAGGCTGTAGGAAAAGGGGCCTGGATGGGCAGAGAGACCCCATTGTGCATTATGAGGTGTCGGGGGCTAGAGACATTGAGACTTGAGAGCCGTGGAATGCAGGGGGGAGGCAGGCCAGGGATGACGTAGGCCGAAAGAAGCCGACTTGAAGGCCTCGGGGACAGGCAAAGCCCAGGTTGGTGCTAGGCACAGGTCAGACCCAATATTTGACTTTGCCAGCCCTAAATGTCCAGACTCTGGCAGCTGCTGGCTCTCTCCCCGTTGTCCCGTCCACCTTCCTAGTGTGTATAGTCCCAAATAATAGACTTTACGGACCCCTGTGGCTTCTGCCAAGCTCTCTACACAAAGCACTTCCTCAGCTCGGCTCGTTTTCTCCCTCCCTCCCCCCCCCTCTCTACCACCCTCCCCCCCCCACCAGTCTTCAACTCTGACTCTGCTCTGACTGCTGACTGAGCGCTGGGATTACAGGTGTGCACCGCCACGCTTTCTCATAAAGCCTGAGATGACGGATCAGCAGGCCACGGTCATTAATCCTCATTCTAAAGATGAACATTCAGAAAAGCCGAGGAATCTGCCTGCGCTTACGCAGCTGCAAAGTCCCAGAGCCGAGACCTCAGCTCAGCTCTCCAGTCTCCAAACCCTGAATTCTTCCCACCACCCCTCGCAGGCCCGTGCTCCATCCCGAATTACAGCGCCACGTACAAAACTGCTCCACGCATTCCAGGATGAGCATCTGCTCCTCGTCTTCCAGGTTGTCAAGGTGAGAGGCCTGGAGGAAGGGAAAGAGGAAGGGGGCCAGGCTGTCACCACCCCCAGCCAAAGGGCGTGCCTTCCCCCCTGTCCTCACCTCCTCTCGCAGGTGGTCATTCTCCTTCTCCAGACGCCTCAACTTCTGCTGCAGAGCTTCCAGCTGTGGGCAGCGGTGCTGTGACTCCACCTTAGGGGGCCTGGCAAAAGGGCAACGAGAGTCAGCATGGGGTGGAGGGTGGGGGATCCCTGGCCCCGGGGCTTCCCCCTCCTGGATAAGGGTGGCGGTGTCAGCAAGTTCCAACAGCTCTCCTGGCAGGCTCACTGCCCGCGTCCCTGCTCAACAAATGAGCAACTGAAGCTCGGAGAAGGGACGGTCCAGGCACAGAGGCAGGACACGTACGGCTTGGGGGCGCCGTAAGGATGATCATGCTGTTGGTCTCGATCCCGCTGTCCTTCGTGCTCCTCCTCTTCCCCCTCTTCCTCTTCCTCCTCCTCATCCTCCTCCTCGTCGTCGGAGTCCGAGTAGAGCTGAAGGAGGTCATCTCGCAGGTTCACCTGCTTCCGGAGATGCAAAATCTAGGGGAGGAGAGAGAAGCCACTGGAGGGTGAGTACGAAGGCCTATAACAGGTGCTAGTTTGGGGAAGGGAACACACTGACCCCTGCCCTTAGATGCCCAAATACCTCCTCCCTGGCTGAGCCCAGCATGGTTTCCAGCTTGTTATTCTCCTCCATCAAAGCACTGTTCTGTTTCACCAGGGACTGGCCGATGCGAGCAGCTGTGTTCAGGTCCCGTTCTTTCTGCAAAAGGAGAGCCAGCCATTCATACTTTCTCAGTCTCTGGGACCTCCCAAACAGGAGGGAGGAACCAGGACTAGGGCACAGGAAGAAAGCTTCCCCAACACCCAGTAGTCCAGGTACTAGATCACAGACTACTAACCAACCCTGGGGTCTGACTGGATTTCCCATCTTGGGGAAAAGAATAAGATCAGCCCAGATTGCACCCCTGGAAGCTAATGCACTCCTGGAGAGGGGCCCTCAAGTTGGCCCCCAGGCAAGCAGAAAACAGACAAAATCCCTAAGTCCTGCAGGGGCAGAGTTAAAATGAGGGCCGATCCGGGTGAGGAAGGCAATACCCACCTCTTCCAGCAAATATAGCATCACTTTGACATCATCTTCAGTGATTTTCTTCGTGGGAGGTGGGTTAGGACACAGTGCTGCAGGAGGAAAGGCTTGAGTGGGTCAGAGAAAGGAGCCAAGGCTGCCCACAGCCCACTGCGACCCTCACACCAAAGGTCATAGAGCCAGGAGACTGAGATCCATCCGGCCCTAGCACCCACTGCACAGCTCCGGATCTCAGCGCTCCTGCTTCCTCAGGAGGGGCCTGGGTGCTGTAAGAGCAAAACCACCCTCTAAGTTCAGGAACTGGAATCCTAGGACCCCTGGGTCCTTGGTCCCCAGAGATAGGAAGTCAGGGGAAATACAGCTGCAAACTGGCTCGTCATGCCTGACCCAATCGGCAGCGAAGCCAGCTCACTGGAGCCTCCTGGGTCATAAAAACATATGCAGTTTAGTCACCTTACACCTGTTGCTTGTGACAAGAGGGCCAAGGAGACTTCTTCAGCACCCAGAAGGGGGCACCAAAGCCTAAAATTGTGCACGCCCAGAAGAGGAGGAACAGAAGCTCAGTGCCCCGCCCACTCCTCCCGCCTCAGCCCAGCTCAGGGGAAAACACAACCCAGACCCCTGCAGCCACTTAGTGGTCAAAAGCTCCCTCTCCACCCACCCACGCATGCTGGTTCCACGAGCTAGCGCAGGCTCAGAGCGCGACCAGCAGCTCCCTCCGGCAGCCCCCGCCCCTCTGCTGGCACTGCGGTAGATGGGGAGGGGGCACTGAGAGTGCGCAGATCTGCCGCAGCAACAGGCGCGAAGAGGGGGCGAGGAGCGCGCAAGCTCTGAACCTGACGCACACACAAAATTCGTGGAACCCGAAAGGGAGGAAGAGATGGGGAAAGGGAGACTAAACAGGCACCGCGGACAGAGGTCTCGCGGGGAGGTGGAAAGGTGGGAGTGAGCGCCACAGGGGGGCGGGGCTCCTGAGTCGTGGGCCCCTTCCTCCTCCCCGGAGATACCCGAGTAGCAGTCAGTGCAGGATCCCATAGATTCAGTTTACCTTCCTGCAGCTCTCGAATAAACGCGGCGCGCTCAGGGCCAGACACGCCAGGCCTCCGGCCGATGTACGCGGCTGGCGTCTTCCAGATTCCCTCGGCTTTTCCAGTGCCCAGGCCAGTGGCCCGGGGACCATAAGGCCCCTGGAATACATAACGGGTCCATGGCGCGTCCGAATTACCGATAATCATGGACCGACAAAATCTTCCCGTCCTGATTCGGGATCCTGGAGCTCGCTGTCCGGACCCGGTTCCCTGCGCAGGAGCAGGTTTGGGCTCCGCCAAGGGCTCCGGGGCCGGACTGGCTGCAGGTTGGGTCTCGGGGGTCCCTGCTGCTGGGTCCCCAGACCCCGTCCCTTCCCCCGCACTGTTATGCACCTGTTCCTTGGGGCGCATCTTGACTCCGCAGTGGGCTGCCGCAGCCCAGCCTTTATAACCTGTGCCCGGAGCGGGCTCCACTGGGGTGTACCACGCGTGATGCTGGGGGTCACCGAAGATCAATTAGTGCTGCCGAGGATTCAGAATCGTGCGAGAGTGCAGCAAGTGGTGATGGAAACAGAAATAAAGAACAAGAAGAGGAAAGAAAGAGATGAGCGAGTGCCAAATTGGCTCTGCAGGATCGAGTTCACGGTGAAAGGCTTTTGTCCCCCTTCCATCTTCTGATAATGGTTCTGTCCAAAGCCGCCGCTTTCCCTGGACTTGGGCTGAGGGACCCCGAGCTTCTTGTCTAGAAGCAGTCCTCCCCCTCCCCGCCCCCACCCCGTGCGCTCCCGCCCCCTGGACTTCCAGCTTGTGCCTTTTCTGTTGTCATACACAACATTGTATAAAGGCCGAGGTGACTTGCGAGGCGGGGCAGTACGCCTGTGTCTTCCCAGGTGGATTAAGCTAGAAAGGCAAACTCCTCCAATATGGTTTTCAACGTGTTGCGTGTCACCCACAGGTCCTCGCGCGCTCACAATCCCGCACTCGCCCCTGGACGTCTTCCATCTTAGTACATTCACTCCTGGTTCTTTATTTCCAACCCTAATTCGCAGGGCCTGCCGTCCTTGTTCTTCAGACTTTCCAGAAACGGCATCTTCTGAGGAGATCCCGCTTAAATGCTTTGCTGTGACCGCTCTTCCAGGACCTCCCGCCACCTACGCCCCCCACCTCTCTCTCCAAAGCATCCATCATCCCGAGGTCTGAAAGGACCGATGTCAGTCAAGACCCGTCCTCTTCAGCCCACGGATGGTGTGCTCCCCAGAAAACTGGATACCTTAGAAGGCTGCTCTAAGTCCAGAATGAACTGGGGTAGGGGTGGGAGCCAAGCAGGGCAGTAGCCATTTCTATGCGCTTAGACCGGAAGACAGGCTAAAAGGAGATGGGTGGCTCGTTGATGAAGGTCTCAAAATCATTTTTGATGTCCTCCATTCTTCTCCACCGTCCTCTAGTTGCCATGCCTACTGACTTTACCTTTAGTGTGTGTGTGTGTGTGTGTGTGTGTGTGTCTGTGTGCCTCCGGAGTGCTGACCCACCGCGCTCAGATTATTTTAAATTTTTGTATGTGGTGTTTGAACGTGTCCATATCTGTGGGCGGAAGTCAGCGATCAACAGTAGGTGTTGCCTATCACTTTCCACCTCATTTTTTGACACAAGGTCTCTCATTGAAGCTGGACTTCAGTACTTTGACTAGACTGTCTGGCTAGTGCGCCCCAGGCATCCACTTAACTTCACCCCACCCTCAACCCTGGGGTTTACAGACAGGTGTCTTCCTGTTGGGTGCCAGGGATCCAAACACAGGCCCTTGTGCTTACAACAGTTTGCCTTTGAGCCTTTGAGCTCCCTATAGATTGTCTTGTTTTGTGTGTGTGGCTGTTTTGCCTACTTGTGTGTGTGTGCACCGCTTGCATGCCTGCGGTCCACAGAAGCCAGAAGAAGGCATCAGATCCCCCGAGAACTGGAATTACAGATGACTGTGACCTGGGGGGAAAACCCAGGTCCTATAGAAGAGCAGCCTGGACTCTCAACCACTGAGTCATCTCCCCAGCTGCCCCCTCCTCCATTTCCTTTTGGTTTTGAGAGAGGGTCTCACTGTGTTGTCCAGGTTAGCTTAAAATTCACTATGTGGGGGCTGGAGAGATGGTTCAGAGGTTAAGAGCATTGCCTGCTCTTCCCGAGGTCCTGAGTTCA